GCAATTGAGCTCCTGTTTTTCTATCAGAAAATAAAGAGCAGAAATGAGTCCTTTTGTGCACAGCTTTGCCCTTTGGACTTGCTGGCATCTACCTCTTCCTCCAGGTGATTAGTTTTATCTGTTACTAGTGCTGGGAAAGCTCTGAGGCAGTGGCCTTGTTTTGGAACCAGGGTCACAAGTGCTGTAGGTGTGCCTCATCACTCAAGACATCCAGGCTCCATCTCCTTGTGTTTACTGGAGTTGTGAAGTGCAAAGGTGATCATCTCTAAACAAACATTGCCTAAGGACTTGCTTATAGAAGGAAACCTAACCACGTAATTGCTCTATTTAACACCCCAGATGGGTGCTTTTGAGCTGGAAGAGGTGTTGGGGAGTGAACAACACCATTATATCATTGCCTGCTTCCTGCAAATATAGGGTTTAAGTTGGCTGCAGCCTTGACACCCTTCAAAGGGGACCTGTTTGTCTTGGCCTCCTCTGGAAAAGAGGTCTTTTGGCCTCTTTCTTGACTTTTCTTCCTCGTGTGAAGGCTTTGGTTGAGTACTTTCTGTAACACTGACGTCTTCCCATGCTGAGGGTTGCACACAATGTCACTTGGCAGATGTCTCCTGAGCATCAAATTGGCCTTCCTACAATTATACTGCCTCTAATCCTGCTTTGTCAGAGGCAGTAAACCTCAGAGCTGCACACGACTCATATAACTTAATGACCCACATTCATTTCATGGCTCTCTTAACATACACTGTTCTCTGTGTACATACAAGCTGTGCAGTCCTTTGGCTCCTGCACACTCTATGGGCTCTTCCAGTACAAGTTATGTCCTTGCTTCTCCTTTGTGAGAGCTTTAAACTAGGAAGGCTAAGAAATCTCATATTCAACCTGGCTGCACCCAACTTTACCCTTCTATTCATGTCCCTAGGTGCAACCTAGAGCCCACGAAGCTGGTTCAGCCTTAAAGGGTTGACCTCAAAAAAGAATTAAGCAAGGACAAATCCATTTTATAACCAAATAGCACATTTTGGTGGTGGGTTTTGTTTTCCCTTCTGTGAGGCATGATCAAATCCATCACTGCTTGCTTTAGGAGCCCTGCTGTAGTTTTTAGCTTGGAGAGTATGAGCACAGGCAAAGCTTTGGGCTCCTTTGAACACAAGCTGTTGGAGGATGGGCGTTCCTCTTGTGTCTCTGTCTCCCCTATCCACCTTTTGATTTAAATGTAGCCTGTTTTGCTCATGATGGTATTTCCTGTCATATATATATATGGTAACCTGGCCTAAGCATCGTGTTCTGGAGCTGAGTTTCCTTCTTGCTCCTGTATATGTGAAATAGCACCACTTCTCCAGGAGCAGCTGCAGACTGGGCTTGATTGCTCCCCATGGTGGCCTTGGCATAATGCTTATGTTAGTCCCTGCCAGCCAAGAGTGATGCTTTGGGACCAGCAGATCTTCTGGAGGCGAGATGTGCTGTAATCCCATCGGTTACTGCACTTACTCAACCTCATAAAGGGTGAGGAGGAAAACAACATGTGGGGAGATCACATGAAGTCCCTAAGGGCAGCAAGTCTCAAGATCCTTACTCAACATCTTCATAAGGCTTTGGTGTTACATCAGGTGGTTCAATAATACCTGACTTTCCAGTATGGTTTTGCTGTTGGCTTAGAAGCCTGGATAATTATCTTAGGAAATCCATTTCAGAAGACATAATTTGGATGGGAGTGAGAAGAATGGGACTTTGCAGCTCTATGGATGGCTTAGTGTCTCTCAGAAGAAGTCTAGGTAAATCATAGAATGGAATCTTGGATGTCCTGGATGTTGTTAGGCTGTGTTTGGTCCCCATCTGCATCAGGGCTTACAAGTGTTCCTGGAGGGCAGCTCCTTTGTGTTCTTGTGGAAAGATGAAGGCATTAATGATCATCAGCTCTGATTATGCTTATTCATCAGCTTTGACACTTTGACTTGAATTTTGCCACTTGGTGTTGTCTCAGGCTGAGCATGGGAGAACTGGGGAGCTGCCTAGTCATTTAGTTAAACCCCTTAATGCTTTTGCAGTGAAGAGGTTTTAATATCGTCATTCTACATCCTGTAGAGCCATCCTGGTGTCTTCTGATGCCCCTTTTCTTCCTTATTTTCTTCTTTCCTTGCCTCCAGGTGAGGAGCTGCTCATGGACCTTCTCTGTGGTTTCAGATAGTCCTTCCACTTGTACCTTTTCCATCATATCTCACCTGCAGTTTCTCTTGCCTCCTGCCCATGTATTCAGGAGGTCTTTGCTCCTCCCTTAGAAACCTTTTAAAATTCTTTGACCACTTCTGAGCAAAGCTTTGCAAGAAGTAGAGATGCCTCAAAGGTGAATGAAAGCTCCTGTGTAGGTATTGCTGAAGGCAAAGAGATGCTTCCCACCTCCAACCATTGCTACTGGGGCTGTTGAGTTTTGGATGAGGTTTTCTGGCTCTGGAGGCAGGGAGAGTCCTGGATCCTGCTTAATTCCATGTATTTGTATATATTTGCATCTGCGTTTGTGGCTCTGGGAAAGACAAGTGCCCCCCTGTAAACCTGAGGGGCTGCTGAGGTTTGAATATGCACCACCTTTTGTTTCTCCTTTTCCTTTCCCTTAAGCTTCAACTTTCATATCTAGGTTAATGTCTGTGAAGAAACATCATTGAAGGCACACTGCTTGTAATCAACCTTTAATAGAAGAAATACTTGTGCAACATCCTGGCCTACGTCTGCATGAGAAGCTTCTTTCTAGAGAAGAGTTTGATGTCTCCTTTGCTTTGAGGGCCTCTAGGGTGTTCAGCTTTGAGCAGTTCCTGTGTGGTTGGCTTCTAGTTTTCAAGGGCCATGTTCAGTAATGACCCAGCTTCTTGCTGGAGAGAACCTGGTCTTCATGATGTCGAATTCCTCATCCTTCCCTGTTCAACTTATGGATTTTTTTCCCTGGGGAGCCAACAATGTGTGCAGGATGTGTGAGTACATCTAGGGCACTTTGGGATCAGCCTTTCATGTTATTTGCTCCTGGTTGTCTCAGACCCAGGATTTGTACAGCTATGGGGGTGTTTTCATTAACATCCCACTTAATTACTTTTGTAGAGTAATCCTGCTCCCCTGCTCCCAGCTAGTTCCACTGGTAATTTCAATGGATTACTGTAAAGCACTAAGCCTACAGATCTATGGACCAGATGGAATGGCTCTGATTCCTCAGTCTCCAATTAGGAGCTTGAATCTTCCACTTCAATGAAAATGCCTATGTTAATCTAGCCCCTTTTCAAAGGGGACACCATTTAATGGCCTTCAAACACAAGAAACTAATGTTCAGAAGCCAAAGTCCATGTAAATGCCAAGTTTTCCATTCCCTACTTCATCAAAACTGGTCTCATACCTTTTTGAGCAAGGATTTCTCTTTCTCCTTTCCTATTTCCTTAGGAAAATAACTTTAGAAGTTCTCCCAGAGTAACATTTGGACTTACAGCATTTCTTGGAGGGATAACCACGCATTGACCTGGCTTGCTGGATCTGAGACTGTTGTGACCCATCCTGGAGGATAAGATTTGAAGCCCAGAGGCATGTCTATGTGGAAGAAATTAGATGAGGAGGTGTCTTGGGCAGGATGAATGGGCACTATTGGAGCTCTGTAGAGCTCTCTGTAGAGAGCAAAACCCCTTTATATGGAGACAAGGGGTCCACCAACTGTGGTGGAAGAAGAGCAATGAGGAGCAGTGTAAGACTGATGTGCACAGCAAATAGAGGTTTTATAAAGGAAGGCAGTTAGTGTTGTTCAGTCTGGAAAAGAGAAGCTATGTGGAGACTTCAGAGCAGCTTCCAGTATCTGAAGGGGGCTACAAGGATGTTGGAGAGGGACTTTTCATCAGGGACTGTAGCGATAGGACAAGGGGTGATGGGTTCAAACTGAAACAGGGGAAGTTCAGGTTAGATTAAGGCAGAAATTATTCACTGTGAGGGTGTTGAGGCCCTGGCACAGGGTACCCAGAGAAGCTGTGGCTGCCTCATCCTTGGCAGTGTTCAAGGCCAGGTTGGACTGGGCTTGCAGCAACCTGGTCTAGTGCAAGGTGCCCCTGCCCCTGGAGAGGGCTAGAACTGAATGTTCTTAAGGTCGTTCCCAACCCAAGCCAGTCTGATTCTATGAAATAATGCCTTTGAGAAATTCATTTCAGTGCCTCAGTGGATCTTCATATGTTCTTGGAGGGATCTGCCCATGTTTTGCAGTGATGTATGAAAAGCAGGAGGTTGCCATCCTCTTTTCTCCATCTCAACTGACCAACTATGTGCCCTCCCAAACAAGGTTGTTTTCCTGGGGGTTTTTGGTTGTTTGGGTGTATTTTGGGTTTGTTTTATCCAGGGGTCTTTTAGAATGTCACTTTGTCCATCTGAACCTCTCCTCAGACAATAGAAATCATTCGCTTGGGTAGAGCTTTTGTGGCGCTGGATTCAGAGACCCTTCTTGTTTCAACTGCACTGCCTTGGGCATCCCATAATAACCTTTTCCCTCCTGTGAGACAGGGGGATATTGCTGTCTGTCATTTCCTGAAGTCAGAGATTAAATGTGTTTCCCTGTCTGCAGAAAGAGCCAAAGCCAAGGAAGGAGGAAGGGATGGAATTCGTTTACTGCTTTGTGCAATTCATTTCTTCACCCCTGTGAACTCTTGACTTGCCATCTGCACTTGATCCCCTATAGCTGGAAGGAGATGAAAGCACTTATAGGCATGAGGTCACATCTGTTACAGAGCTTGAGGGTTATATAGGGCTCATCTGCAGCCCCCTAGGTCTTGTCTCATGTCTGGATGGTAAGACACTAGGAAAGAGATGCTTAGTTCCTGTTCATGGTTGCATTTGGGAAGTATTTTCTGAGTAGATTAGGAAATAAAACCCAACACATGGTGTTAAAGACTAAACCTTTTATTTCAAGTGCAATCCCAGACTCTGAAAATGCCATTTCTAACCCTAAACTGGTGCTGGTTTTCTGGTGAGACCCTGCCCTTCTCTCTCAGCAGGGCTGTGACCCCTTTGCGCAGACCCAGCGCAGCAAACTGCAGCATCGCCGGGCACGGATTAACCAGCAGATCAACAAGGAGATGAGGATGCGAGCAGGGGCAGAAAACCTCTTCAGGTGAGTGCTGGTCCCCAGAGCATCCCTCTGGCCCAGGAGGGATTTGCCAAGAGGTGGAAAATGGTTATGTAGTAATGGTGGAATCTATAATTTCAGCATTAGTTGCCTCCCTTGATGTGTAGGAGGTGGCTGATGCTGAAGCTGTGGCTGCCCCATCCCTGACAGTGTTCAAGGCTAGGTTGGATGAAGCTTGGAGCAGCCTGGTGTAGTGGAAAGTGTGGCAGTGGGCTCTAACAGGATGAGCTTTAAGGTCCCTTCCAACCCAAACCATTCTATGATGCTGGCCCTTCCATGGCTATGACTGGGGTTTGTTCACTGTTCCCCAGGCCTTGCAGCATTCATCCTGGTTATAGCTGCTTGATTCAATGATAATGCTATGAATTTTAATGAAAATGTATAGCTTTAATGTCTTGCAAGACTGGTACAAAGCAGGATGTGAGCAGATGGAATAATGGGAATAACTGGGATTGATCTTGGACTGCAGAGCTCCTGCCTGATAACCCCAGGGAGTGAGTCACATCCAGCTTGATTTCCAGAAAACCCCCTCACAGTGCTTCCAGCTGAGCAGAACCTGAAAATTCAGGAATGTCTTTACATATGGGCACGGTCTTCAACTTCAACAGGCTCTTCACCCTGTCAGAAGATGCATTTATGGGATGGTGCAGCAGTTGGCACCTTTACATGGCTTTCAGACTGCAGTGGGACCAGCACAAGGAGAACCTGTGCATTGCTGCCTTCCCCTGTATAATGTTGATGATACAAACGTGATTTTTTGCTGCTATTTTACCTTATTTTAACCCAAGGATGACCTTTTTTATAGCTCTTGTATATATCTCATGTTCCTGTAGGATATTGGAGCACATGCAGGGTGGTCATGTCTTTAAAGATAAGAAAATGTCGTAAGGCTGCCCTATAATAGCCTTTTGGGGGATATTTTGCCAGCTAGATTCTTTTCTCCAATTAAATAACTATTATATATGACTATTCAATATATATGACTACATATTGAATGATTTAACATCAGTGGCCTGGAATTGACGGGAATATTGAATTCCATATTGAACCTGGAACAAGGGAATAATAGTTTTTCCACCAAACCATAGGAAGAAATGGTGCTTTACTGGTGGCTGACATCACTGGTGCTTCCCAGGGGAGGTGAGGATACAGTCCCTGCACCCTACTGCTTCAAGCATGCTGCTGTGCCTCATCTAATTAAACTAAGGCCATGAAATCCCATCATGTGCCTCTTTTTCATTATTAAAAGCAAATAATACATAGGCGCAAATGTGCTGGCTCAGCAGAAACGTGCCTGGCTGCGGTTTGGGTGCAAACAGTGGGAATCATCACTACATGCAGGGGAGTGAAAAAGAATGTGATGCAAAACACATCTTAATTACTCAGCCAGGGCAATGCAGTGATGGGGCTGCCTACTTTTTGCTGGATCAGCACTTTGAATAACCTTTGGGAGCAGCCACTTCTCCGTCCCTCCCACATGTCCACTTTGTGGCTGAGTGATAATGGGGTTTGCTGGGTGATGTGATGCTCAGAGCTTAGAAAACAGGGGAAATCTAGGGGGAAGAATCAAGCTTGGGCCTGAAATTAAAGGCTGAGGTGGGGGATATTATATTGTAAGGTTTATTGCTTAAAATCTATAGATTTGAGTTGCAGGGAGAAATTTCCTTTACATGTAAGTGCTAAATGGAAATGGATTAAAGGTGTGGATTGCCTGAGTTTACAGCTGAAACAAAACCAAACCAACCCCCAAATCTCAATGCTTTAAAGAAAATAATCTCCTGAACTGTTCTCTTGAGCATATCAGCCTCCTTTCCTGGGGAGGTTGCTATGAATGGAGTGTTTGCTCGGTGTGTGTTAAGAGGGGTTGTTTGCTGGATAAATAAAGGGGAAGAGGCAGCAGAAAGCTTTTCTTTTCATGTTCTGGGGTTGAGAGAAGCAATGGGGGAGATAAAAGTGTGGCAAATAAACCTTTTCCATAACGAAATAAAGAATGAATCAGAAATCTTTGATGTTGGTTAAGCAAACAGCTGATAACTTCATAGAGGAGGTTGATGGAGACACGTAGGCTCTGTGTGCTCATACAGAGCTCAGTGCTTGCCCTGGATGGAGACCATGAGGTGCATCCCCACAGGTTTGCACACAGAAAGATCAAGTGCTCCCCTAAATTCTCTCTCTGATAGATAACTGTGCTCTTATTACTTCATGTCACCCTTGCAGAATGCAAACTGAAGTGCTCCAAAGTGATACTGGGCTTTCAAACCTGTTGCCAAGTCCTGGAAGAACTTGCATGCACATGTAGAATACTGCAGAGCAAAATTGGGCTTTGGAGGGTGGTCTGTCCTTTCTGCTGCAGAATAGGGGTGAAAGCACTGGTCAAATATATCATGGGCATGTGTAAATGTTACCCTGGTGCTGCAAATCAGCTATTAGTAATGTAAGACATGAATATATATATAAAATGGGAAGTTCAGGTTGGATATAAGGAAGAAGTTCTTTACTTAGGTAAAGGTGGTGAGGCACTGGCACAGGGTGCCCTGAGCAGCTGTGGCTGCCCCATCCCTGTCAGTGTTCAAGGTCATATTAGAGGGAGCCTTGGGCAACATGGTCTGATGTGAGGCCTCCCTGCCCATGGCAGGGGTTGTAACTGGAGGATCTTAAGGTCCTTTCCAACCGAAATCATTCTATGGAATGCTGAAGGATGTTTAAATAGAAGTGACTATGGAGATATTTGGATCTGCTGTGATATTGCTTGGTTTAGAATAAAACAAATGCATTGATCTTGGAAAAATTGCAGCAAAGAGGGGTCGGGGAGGAGACACTAAAGGACCAGCATCTTAAAACCAGCTTAATACCAAGTCAAAGGCACCATGTTCTGCAAAAGCTGGGGGGAAACAGAGCTCATGTCGTTTTTCCTGGAGCCTGGTTTAGCACAAGCAGCCAGAGCCCCTTTGAGCTGAGGACTGCAGCTGTCAGCTCTGGCTTATCTCTCCCCACTTTCCTCTGGAGCAGATAAGGAAGGTGTAATCAGCCTGGGAGCAGGCAACTGAAATCAGTCCTTGCTGTTTACATCTCCTGATGTGCACAAGTGGGGAAGGGAGGGCAGGGTCCAGCTCTGCTAATGGGTGAGTACAGCAAGCCTCTTCTTATAAAGAAGGGGGTTTTGCACCCAAAACTGAAATTTTTCTCCACAAACCTGACATTAATCATAGAATGGTTAGGGTTGGAAAGGACCTTTAGATCATCTAGTTCCAACCCTCCTGCCATGGGCTGGGACACCTCACACTAAACCATCTCACCCAAGGCTCTGTTCAACCTGGTCTTGAACACTGCCAGGGATGGAGCATTCACAACCTCCCTGGGCAACCCATTCCAGTGCCTCACCACCCTAACAGGAAAGAATTTCCTCCTTATATCCAATCTAAACTTCCCCTGTTTTAAGTTTTATCCCATTACCCCTTGTCCTGTCACTACAGTCCCTAATGAAGAGTCCATCCCCAGCATTCCTATAGGCCTCCTTCAGACACTGGAAGGCTGCTGTGAGGTCTCCACGCAGCCTTCTCTTCTCCAGGCTGAACAGCCCCAGCTTTCTCAGCCTATCTTCATACAGGAGGTGCTCCAGCCCCTCAGCATCCTCGTGGCCTCCTCTGGACTTGTTCTAACAGTTCCATGTCCTTTTTATGTTGAGGACACCAGAACTGTACACAATACTCCAGGTGAGGTCTCACAAGAGCAGAGTAAAGGGGCAGGATCACCTCCTTCGACCTGCTGGTCACGCTCCTTTTGATGCAGCCCAGGATACGGTTGGCTTTCTGGGCTGCAAGCGCACACTGCTGGCTCATGTTCATTTTCTCATCAACCAGCACCCCCAAGACCTTCTCCTTGGGCTGCTCTGAATCTCTTCTCTGCCCAGCCTGTAGCTGTGTCTGGGATTGCTCCGACCCAGGTGTAGGACCTTGCACTTGGCATGGTTAAACTTCATGAGGTTGGCATCAGCCCACCTCACAAGTGTGTCAGGGTCCCTCTGGATGGCATTCCTTCCCTCCAGCGTATCAACCGAACCACACAGCTTGGTGTCATCGGCAAACTTGCTGAGGGCGCACTCAATCCCACTGTCCATGTCAGAGACGAAGATGTTAAACAGGACCAGTCCCAACACTGATCCCTGAGGGACACCACTTGTAACTGGTCTTCAGGAGGACATTGAGCCATCAACTACAGCTCTTTGTGTGCGGCCATCCAGCCAGTTCTTTATCCACCGAGTGGTCCATCCATCAAATTGATGTCTCTCCAATTTAGAGACAAGGATGTCGTGTGGGACAGTGTCGAACGCTTTACACAAGTCCAGGTAGATGACATCAACTGCTCTACCCCTGTCCATCAGTTCTGTAGCCCCATCATAGAAGGCCACCAAATTGGTCAGGCAGGATTTCCCCTTGGTGAAGCCATGCTGGCTGTCACCAACCAAATAGAGGCATATAGAGGCACTGATGAAATGGGGGAGGTTTGATCCATGTTGTGTTATCTTGCAGGGCCACCAGTAACCACAAGGTCAAAGAGACAGTTGCCCTGGAGCTGAGCTACGTGAACTCCAACCTGCAGCTGCTGAAGGAGGAGCTGGAGGAGCTGAACAGCAGCATGGATGTGTACCAGAATGACAGGTACAGAGCCTGTGGTGTGGGAAGAGCAGCTGGCATTGTATTTGTATTGCTACTAGTAGCTGGTTTTTGCTTTTTCTGGGAGCAGGTCAGCATCTTTCGTGTACCTATTGCTCTGCCTTCCTGCTCTGCACAGGGTTTGGCTTTCTGGTAAGGACCATGAAGTGGTGGCTGAAGGCTAGAGGAGGACTTGGGCATGGGCCTGGAAGCAGTTTTTTATCGTGGAAACATCAATGTTTCATTTATAGAGCTGTGAGGAGACCCAGTTTAACCTCTTTTGCTAGTAGATACTTAGGTGTTTGGGGATGTATGGTGCATAGAATCATAGAATGGTTTGAGTTGGAAAGGACTGTAAGATCATCCAGTTACAAACCCCTGCCATGGGCAGGGACACCTCACATTAGAACACATCACCCAAGGCTCTGTCCAACCTGTCCTTGAACACTACCAGGGGTAGGACACACTGGTGTCCCCAAGCAGGAGGAATAGGTTAGAAATAGCCATCTCTACTTGCATCATCCACTTTCCTGAGCTTCCCACCAGAGCAAGAGATTTTTCCACCATTTGAAATGGGGTTTTAGCAGAAGTTCCAAGTGAGGCACTGGAATGGGTTGCCCAAGGAAGCTGTGAATGGTGAAACACTGGCACAGGTTGCCCAGAGAGGCTGTAGATGCCCCGTCCCTGGAGACATTCAGGGTGAGCTTGAACTGGGCTCTAAGCAACCTGATCTATTTGAATTTGTCCCTGCTCATTGCAGGGGATTCGACTAGATGACTTTCAAAGGTCCCTTCCAGCCCAAATCATTCAGTGGTTCTGTGACTTTATGTCCATCCACATGCTTTTCCCAGTGCTTGGTCCTCCTTAGGGGAGGCTGGTTGTGGTACTGGGGATAGAAAGAGGTGCAAAGACCAGGAGAGCATCAGTGACTCCATCCTGCAGGTTGCTGCAGTGACATTAAATGTGGGACCAGGATGATCTTGGTGCAGAACTGAGTTAGGTTCATGGGGTCTGCTGTGGGGAATAAAGCCAAGTGAGTCCTATACGTCTGCCGCCCTTGGGTGTTTGTAGTTGGAGGGTCTGCAGCCTCTGAATGGAATCCTGAATGTTGATCCTTCTTCTGCACTAGGAGCAGGGATGCAACATCTCCTGTGTTGCATGCATCCTCCCAGAGTTCTTCCTTATCAGGGCTCAGCTTTTCTTACCTGCCTCTGGTTTGCCCTGGTTTAAATAGAAACCAGCAACAGCAGCAACCCCAAACCCCTGCCCAGGCCAAACAAACACCCCTTTGTTTGCTGCAGGCATTGGATTTGAACGGAAACCTTGGTAGGAACAAACAATAATGCCTTTTCTACTCTAATTATAGCTCTTGAAGCTGTTTATTCAGTAGGAAGAGATGAGAATGTGGGTGCAGCCTCCCTGCCCTGCTCCCCTGGTTTCTGCAGCTTTCTTTGCCTCTTTTCCTCCCTGGATTAATGAGTGATGTGTTCACAAGTTAACAGCAGTTTCTGGAGGGAAGGAGAAAGAGTTGTGCAAATCTGGGTTGGGAAGGGCTTGATCCTGCCTGACACAGCTCCCATCTCACCCTGTGCCAGACTTCCTTGTCACTTTAAATTAGGCCAAGTGGCCAAGGATTCAGTAACATGGCTCAGTGACAGTACTGGGGGCATCCCCAAGGGATAAATGGCTATGAGGGAAAGCATTTGTGGAGCAAATCTGAGCTGCAGGTGCCATGTTCTCTGTATTTGTGTACAGTAGTTGGATGATGTAGCTTGTAGTGATAGGACAAGTGGTGATGGGTTCAAACTGAAACAGGGGAAGTTCAGGTTGGTGATAAGGAAGAAGTTCTTTACTGTGAGGGTGGTGAGGCACTGGGACAGGCTGCCCAAAGCAGTAGTAAGTGCTGTATCCCTGGCAGTGTTCAAGGCCAGGTCTTAGAGCAACCTGCTCTAGTGTGAAGCATCCCTGCCCATGGCAGGGGGTTGGAACTGGATGATCTTAAGGTCCTTTCCAACCCAAACCATTCTACAATCTTTTGCAGGGCTGTGAACTGCATGCTGCAGGCTCTGCTCTTTATACACGCCATTTCTTTACCTGTTGGCAGCAGAGAATCAAAATAGCTGCTAAATCCCCCATCAGGGGGAAGATGGTCCTTTCTTGGCTGTGGTTCTGCAGCTCTTCTTCCTCAGTGCTGCACAACTGCCCTGTTTTCATGCTGAAATACAAACCACTCCCCAACTGGGTGCTCCCAAATTCATCATCATCTTCAGGGCTTTACAGTATCAAATGAGCTCTGTAATAAGAGCTATTAATAGACAACTTCTTTTAATAGAGGTAGAACATGTCAATATCAGGCACAGTGTGCAGCCTGAGCAAGGCTTTATCAGCACCAGAGCCCAGATTAGCACATAGGAGAGGGCGAGTCCATGACCTGTGCCTGGTTCCCAAGGTATTAAAGCAGCTTCATTGCTGAAGCTGATTTTGTGGCTGTTACCTTTGTTAGGGAGTAAAAAGGAGAAGCTGGAGGAATAAGGGTGATAGTTTCAGGTTCTGTTCTTCTCTTGTGCTGCCATTTCCATTGGGAAGAGCATCCTTCTGCTGTGCAGAATTGAGTCCTCTTATAGTTTTAGCACAAACCCAGGGCAAAGAGCTGCTTTATTTTAGGCCCTGACACAAAAGGTCTCTGTAAGGCTTTTAAACCAACCACCGAATATGTTGCTGACTTCTTCCAGTGAGTCCATCAGCGTCCCCATGATCCCTTTGGGTCTGAAGGAGACGAAGGAGCTGGATTTGCTGGCACCACTGAAGGTGAGCATCAGGGTTCCACACTCTTGATGTGATGGAGGATGATGGAAGGGAATGACTGTGCACTTTGGGAGATATTTCAGTACATGGGGATGGTTGGGTGCTGTAGAGGAGATGCTGCAGCAGCTCCAAAACAGTTTCTGTCTTGGAAGAGCTACAAAAACCCAAGTTTATGTAGAGGAGCTGGACTTACAACATGGGAAAGTGGGAGGCGAGGGGCTAGAGATGCTGAACACCAAGAGCCAAGCAGGAAGGAGATGGTTTTCACTTGTGGGGAGAGCTGGCAAGTTGCTTATACAAAATAGCCCAAAGTCAGCCTTTAAATCATGCAGATCTGTTTTAAAGGGTGACTCAAGATTTTCTCTTCTCTTGTTTCCCCATCCAGGATTTCATCAGTGAACACTATGGAGAGGAGGGCATGTTGTTTGAGAAAGAAATCAAAGAGTTCATGGAGCTGAGGCAGGTTGGTATCTCTTCAATTACAAAGTCTTGCTTTGACTTGTCCAGAAACACTTGTTGAAGGTGCCACATTTTGCTCCAGGGGTCTCCTCATCCTCTCTCCAAGCCGAATCCTTATCCTTCTGTCTTAGGGTACAGGATTCCCACACTAAGCACCAGTAATCATTTGTGACTGTTAGGTCACCCCAGTGAGACCAAACAACTGCTCTCTCCCCAGTTAGCATCTGGAGAAGGGGAAATGTAAAGCAACCCAGTAAAGGTGGATTTGCTCCTCTCCTATATAATAGCTTTCTAAGTAATTTCATGTTTTGCCTGTGATTCCAGAGACTGGAAAGAAAGAGACTGGATCAGGCCCTTATGAATGGGCCTGATCCTGCTTTTAAGCCTATGGGAGAGGAGCTCTGCCAGAAGATGGGAAAGGGCCTGTGGTTAACATTAGTTGTTAGGAGAGCTCTGTCCCTCCTCCCCTTGCCAGGTCAAAAGCTCAAGGGCTTTTACTAAAAGCATAAATCCTATTTCTTCCACAGCATTTATTTCATGAGACTTTGTATGACTTTCTCTTGAAAACAATAATGGTTTAGATGAGCATCACCTCCAGCATAGTTCCCAGGCTGCTGACTCCAGATTTGGGTGCCCCATCACCAAAGTGGTACCTCCCCGAACTTTCTTACAGCTGAATCTGTGCCATGGGGCTGCCTGTCATTGCTGCACAGCATCTTCACTGCATTTCCCCCTGTGCTAAGCAGTGGTGAGGCCGCACCTTGAATCCTGTGTCCAGTTCTGGGCTACTCACTACAAGAGGGACATTGAGGTGCTGAAGTGGGGCCAGAGAAGGGCAGTGGAGCTGATGCAGGGCCTGGAGCACGAATGTGATGGGGAACGGCTGAGGGACGTGGGGGGTTCAGTCTGGAGAAGAGAAGGCTCAGGGGGGACCTGATGGCTCCCTACAAGTGCCTGAGAGGAGGATGGAGCCAGGAGGGGCTGGGCTCTGCTCCCAAGGAACAAGGGATGGGACAAGAGGAACCGGCCTCAAGCTGCACCAGGGCAGGTTTAGATGGAGCTGAGGAACAATTCCTGCCCCAGAGGGTGCTCAGGCATTGGAACAGGCTGCCCAGGGCAGGGCTGCAGTCACCGTCCCTGCAAGTGCTCACACAGCGTGGAGACGAGGCCTCAGTGCCATGGGTTAGTGGTGGCCTTGGCAGTGCTGGGGAATGGTTGGACTGGGTGAGCTTAAAGGGCTTTTCCAACCTGGTTGATTCTATTGATCTAATCCTATTGATCATATTGATCTGATCCATTTGATCGAATAACTCAGGTGGAGTTTTCCTCTCCCTGGGCTGACCAGCATGTGCAGCTCCATAAATCCATCATTTCCCCTCCCATTTTTCTCCCTCCCTTTCCCACCCTCATGTCTCCTCTCCCATCGTTGCAGGCGATGCGCACCCCAAGCCGCAATGAAGCTGGGCTGGAGCTCTTGATGGAGTATTACAACCAGCTCTACTTCCTTGACAGCCGTTTCTTCCCTCCCACCAAAAGCCTGGGTGTTTATTTCCACTGGTTCGTGCAGTTTTCCCCATCCCCCTTGGGGAACTGTGTGAGTAGGGAGGGAGCTGGGATCAAGCCTCCATGGTGGGGTTGCTGCCTCTGCAGCAAAGCCAGGGCTGGTGGACTTGAGGAGGTGGGTTTGCTGTTACCATGGGTGAGTGATTAGGGGATGCAGGGGAAAGAACACACCCTATGGGGATGAGCTGTGATGGGAAGAGTGGCTTTGGGCCTATGAAGAACACTGAAAACCTTCCAGCTTCCTTCTCCATGTGTAGTAATGGGCATCCAACTCTTCCCTTCCCCAGGTACGACTCCCTGACTGGGGTCCCATCCCACCAGCGAGCACTGGCCTTCGAGAAGGGCAGTGTGCTCTTCAACATTGGAGCTCTGCACACCCAGATTGGAGCACGGCAGGACCGTGCCTCCCTGCCAGGGCTCAACCAGGCCATCGATGCCTTCCAGAAGGCAGCAGGTATGTGGGTTCCCCCCCTTCCCTGGCTCTCTGAGGGCAGCATTTCCCTGGGCTGGGAGTATTCCACATGTGTACAAAGAGGGATGGGGACAGGGCATCTCCAAGGGACCACAAATCAAGTATGAGTTGGTACCATGCTGCTTCTGTGGGTGATGAAGAGAAGCTGGGATGACCCAAGAGCCACTCGGTGTGGCTTCCATACAGCAGGAGGGATGTTCCATCTGGGAACAGGAGAAATGCTGATCTGTCTGCAAGCAGCTGGGAATAAAAGAGACCCAACAACTGTGGTTACCCAGGGCTCTGGAGAAGAAAGGTGTGGGCACAAGGATGGTTTAGATAGCAAAGGAGGGACGCCCCATCTTTTTACCCAGTGGTTATAGTGAGATGTTTCTTGGTTACTGGCTCTTCTCCTCCTGTGCTGCTGGTGGGGAAACCTCCATGGTCCAATAGCCTGACCCTCCTGCTTGTAGGCCCTGTGGCTACCAGGAGCTTCTCCTTTGTGCAGGTGCCTTTAATTACTTGAAGGAGAACTTCTCCAATGCTCCCAGCTTGGATATGAGCTCTGCTTCTCTGAACATGCTGGTGCGGCTGATGGTTGCCCAGGTCCAGGAGTGTGTCTTTGAGAAGACGACACTGCTGCGTGCCCAGCACGACTTCCTCACACAGCTCCAGCTCGCTCAGGAGGCAGCAAGGGTGAGCACCGTGGGGAGAAGAGGACTTGGTGGGGGATGTTCCCACTGGAGATGTTCCTTCTGTGGCCTGCTGTCACTGTCTCTTGATGGATGTCCTACATCTCAGCCCATGTTGTCCCTTCTACCCGCAGGTAGAAGATGTCTACTCTCTGGTTCACCAGACAATGACCCAGGCCCATGTGAAGGATTACGTTCCCTTCTCTTGGACCACCATGGTCCATGTCAAATCGGAGCATTTCAAAGCGCTTTCCCACTACTTCGCTGCCATTGCCCTCTGTGACTGCCCTGGTGAGTGTTACATCTCAGAGGCAGATGCCTGCTCAGCCAAGTGCTGGCTCCACGTGACAGCCTCTTGTTTAGGAGGAGCGGTTGCAAATGAAGAGGTGTAGACATGCACAGGGTAGATGGATACAAAACCTAAAGGTTTTAGGATGCTCTGAGCTGTTGATCTTGCTTATTGACTCAGGGATTCATGCATAAGGCAGATTTCCCCCGTAGTTCTGCTTTGCACAGTGCTTGCTAAGTCTTCCTAAGAAGGTGAGTAAAAGAGGTGCTGTAGGGATGTTGTTTGCTGTCCCCTTTGGGACTGGATGGGTAAATAGGGGGTCAGCTACCTGCTGACCATGCGTGTGCCCATATTCTCAGCTGGGTATCCTCTGGGACACCCATTACTTGTGCCACGACAGCTGAGGGCTTCAAAAATGAAGATAAACCCAGAAGAACCTTGAATTTAATAGCTGGTTGCTCTGGGAATCCCATGGTGGTGAGTACTGTCAGCGGGGTACATGTGGCTGTGATGGAGCCAGGCTGACGTGGCTTCATGGAGCCAGCTGGAGCATGGATGCAGGATCCAACCCATGATCTCCATTGCACCATCACCAACACCCTTACAAGCAATTTTGGGTCAGGCATAGGATCTGAGGGCAAGCAGGTAATGCACACTGCGACCTGTGGAGCTGACCCATCACTTGGTGAGGTGGCTGAGGCCAGACTGGAGGGTTACTGGGGGATGGCTGCCAAAGCAGAGCTGTGCCAGTCATGGTGAGAGCTGCTAGTGATGGTGATTGCTGCCAGACTTTCCCTGCATCCTCCCCCATTCCAGAGCCTGTACAAATGTTGCTGCAGGGCTTGTGCCATGTGGGTGTTGTAGAAGCAGGATTGAGCTGCTGGGGCAGAGTCGGCAGACAGTGAGGTGCAGCTTAAAGACAGAAATGGCAGAGAATTGTGATGGAGCTGGGTTTGATATGGGGTTACAAGGGACAGGGCAAACTTCTCCCCTAACATTTGGAGGCTCCTGGTAACCTTAATGGTGAAGGAAACACAAGTCTGATGGAGAGGCAGAATTTGGGTGTCTGGGGATTGCTTATTGCTGCATCCCGGGCAATGTTGTTGAGATTTCAGCTGCTTGCTCACTGCCTTTCCCTGACCCCCTTGTTCAGAATAACAGATCTTTAGCTCCCATAACCAGCTGGCAAGAAACTCCTTAAGCTGCAGTTTAATCCCCCAGGGATGCTGCACAGGGAGAACCAGTTCCCAGCCTTTGTGTTCCTGCTTTTGGACCAGCAAATCCACAGAGGTCCTTGGGAGCCTTCTGATTGCACTTTGTGCCCAGGGAAGGAGGCTGCCATCGAACCCTGAGCTCCCTGTGAGCCAAGTGGGATTAGGAGCAGGTTTGGCTGGAAATAAGGGTGTAAAATGGACACATACAGAGCCCAACATGGTGTTCAGAGCTCTGAATCCATCTCAGTTTCTCCACTGAAGGACCCCTTTGGTTGTATGGCAAGCTTTGTGCCCATGTAGGGGCCCCAGGCACAGCAAGGAGGGCTCAGCTCCCAGATTAAGCTTTGGTCTACCCTGCTGGTGTGCTTTAGTTGTTGCTTCCCTGTCGCTAGCCTCCGGATGAGGAAAATCCAGGGCTCTTTATTTCCAATCCTGCTTCCAGATTGGAGCAAAGAAGGGAAGGGGGCAAAAGAACCAGATACTTGTGCTATGCCTTCAATGTGATAACTCTCCCCTCTCCCCATCAGTGATGTTGTGGCTGTCGCAGGCTGTGGTTGGGTGAGAGGAAGTTTGGGGCCATATGAACATGGATGCGGCTTCATTGTCCTCGTGTCCCCACTGTCTCAGTGTTGGGTGGTCAAGCAGTGCCTTGACCTCTCTAAACTCATCCCCTGCCATCTGTTTCACACAGCGGCATCTGATGCTGAACTGCCAGAGCAGGAGAAGGCTTTTATCCAGTTCCATGTCACCATGCCAGAGGGACCATCACTCCGTGTCCTGCTGCAGGACCCTGAGGAGAGGAGGAAGCTGGGTAAGCACATTGATGGGGGCAAATCCCCCAGTGCTTGCAATGAAAGCTTAATGTATGAGCAGTGAGCCCCACAGTAACCCTATTCATGGATGCATGGTCTTCATTAAGGTGTGTGATGAGCTGTTGTGGGGGGGTTTCTCCATGCAAGTACATAATTTTGAGGCTTTCTTTGGGAATAGCCTTTCCTGGGAAGGCAGGAAAGCATCATGGATCTCTATTAGGGTGCTGAGGACCAACTCGCATTGCTTGCACCAACTTTTCCAGCCAAGTTTAACAGTAAAACCTCAGGCACAAAGATTTTCTAAGGAAGGTAACATCACCCAACGCAGTGTGGAGAAATCCACAGGGACACAAAGATCCTGGAAGCTCCTTGCTGCTGACTTGGCTGGATCACAAGAAGACACAGCAGATGCCAGGGGGTGGCTTTTTAGCTACATCAAAACGTTTGGGAAACAAAAACTTCCTCCCATGTGGATTTTCAGCTTGAGGGACAAAACCAGAACGTTGCTTATTTAGCTCAAGTCATGGTTTGGCAGCTCCTCCCCAAGGAGGCTGCAAGTAGAGCAAAGCTCAGCGTTCTGGTTTTTGGGTGTCATCTTCTGTTTGCCTTCCCCATGAGCTGCCTCCTGGTGCTCTTTCCACTCATTGCACGTGTGTGAAAGGAGACAGGTCCCACCAGGAAGGAGTTTTGCCACATCACCAACCCCAGCAAAGTTCTCCTGGCTGCTTGGCCAGATTTACTGCTGGGGATCGGAGGTGAAGGACATACAATGAGAGACTCCTTATACCCCTAAACCAGAGTGTTATGGTAACACCACCCCAACACCCTCAGCTGCTGTCATCTGGTGTCCAGAATCATAGAAGGGTTTGGGTGGGAAAGGACCTTAAGATCATCCAGTTCCAACCCCTCCCATGGGCAGGGATGCCTCACACCAGACCATGTCTCCTAAGCCCCATGCAAGCTGGCCTTGAACACTGCCAGGGATGGGGCAGGCACAGCTTCTCTGGGCACCCTGTGCCAGCGCCTCAGCACCCTCACAGTAAAGAACTTCCTTATCTCCAACCTGAACTTCCCCTGTTTCAGTCTGAACCTCTCACCCCTTGTCCTATCACTGCAGTCCCTGATGAAGAGTCCCTCTCCAGCATCCCTGTAGCCCCCTTCAGACACTGGAAGCTGCTTTGAGGTCTCCACACAGCTTCTCTTCTCCAGGCAGAACAGCCCCAATGTTGTCAGCCTGTCTTCATATATGATGTACATAGCCCAGCTTCAAGCTCTACCTGTGCTCTTGTTGAATGGAGCTTATTCCCCACATCTGCTGGTGAAAAATGAGCATGCAGACACCAGCCTCAGCTCTGGGTTTGGTTTATAGTAAAGGAAGAAGCTTATGGCATTAAAATCATCTCTCTGAAAGGATATTTCCCTCCCTCTTCCCTTGTCTCCTGGTCTTAGCATGTTTTCTCAAACATAATATATTCCCCCATTTTAAGTAGAGTGGAGCCATGGACTTCCATGCCCAACCTCTATTCCCTGTAATCTCTTGGAAATCACAGGACAGTCATTAGATAGTCATTAAAACCTAGTTGCTTTCTTGCTGACAGTGGATGCTTTGATAAAATAGGATTGATGGATATGATACAGTTTTAGGGGGAATCTTCCTCTCTGTGTTCTATCCAGCCTCAAAATACTTCCTCGAATGCGGTTTATGGAGGAAAGTGAAGGTCTTGAGGCCACTGCCTTTGGTCCACATAAACCTGGAGCAAACCTCATCATCTCCCTGGATTATGTTGCCACCGTGTGTCCTAAACCGGGAAGCGCAACAGGCACCCGGGTTTCTATGGTACGAGTGCGTAGACAGAGCTTTTTTGGTAGTTTAGCTTATATAGCTGTTTTCCTGGCTGCTTCGTTTCCATGAGGATAGAAAACGCATTGAAGGCAACTTAAGAGGAGCAAAGCAAGAGCAGATGCAGAAGAGGATGGCAAGCAGGACCTGCGGGGCAATGAGAAAGCTTTCCTTAGCCTAGAAAAGAGGGAGACGTGTTGCATCTTCCCGAAGCTGGCACCAGGAGGACAAGGCTTGATTGTCCTTCGTGTATTTGCCCTCCCGTGGGATGCAAGGTGCTGGAGAGAAGTTAATTTGCAGAGGAGATTGAGGTTAAAGCATTAGGAGGGACTTTGGGGGCGGCACAACGTGGTGGCAGCTCCTTTGCTGCTTGCTTTTTGGGAACATCTGCCAGCTCCGGCGCTGGGGGAGTGAAGTAGGTCACCCTTCAAGGTCCCTTCCCAGCCCTACATCAGGGGCTCGAGCTGACGGCTGGGACCTACTCCATTTAGCAGCACGTTGAACGCCTGGCAGGCTGCAAACGTGACTGGGCTGTCCCTGAGTCACGTCGGGGTGGCACAGCCCTGGGAGCTGCTGTCATCTGTAGGCAGCCGAGAGGGAACAGCTCCGCTCCGCTTGGGCTCAGATCTCTCTGCTCCTTTGCAGGCAAAGCGCATCTGAAGAAAGCCATCATGAAGCACGAGGAAGCCATGAGGATTCACGGCTTGTGTAAGATCCTCAGGAAGATGGATATCCTGCAGGAGGTCCTCTCCTTTGCCCACAAGCGTTCGTTGAGCAAATACTCCGAAATCGACCATGAGGAGGACTTCTTTGAAACTGGAGATGCTCCAGATATTCACCGTAAGTGGAGCTGAGGTTGCATGGGGTGGGCAAACTCCCATGGCGAGTTTATGGCATGTTGCTGGGGACCAGAGCTCCCTGTCATCACAGGTAGGAGCAGGGGCTCCGGGTTGCATGTCTGGCAGCTGCCTGAGCACATTGCAGCTCTTATGAGTTGTAAAATCCCTCTTCAAGCAGCACAATGTAGAGGCAGAAGCTGCCACAACTGCCTGACCACAGTGTATGTGCTTTCCTCTCCCTTCTGCCAGCCAAAACGCACCAGAAACCAGAGATCAAATCCCCCAGCTTCTCCCAGGTGAAGGTGACCGACCTCTTCCACAGGCTGGTATGTACAGCTATGGGATGGAGGGTGCCCCATGGGAGCAGACATCTCCTCCCCTGCATGCTCTGCTTGCCTGGTTTCCTTCCTCCCCTTTCCTTCTGCCTCTTCTCCCTCTCTGGTGCAGCGGTTGCACCCATGGGCAGCTTTCCAAGGAGGAAAAGGGCAGGGGCATGTGCAAGAGGAGGGTTAGGGTGCATGGGTCTGTCTTTGTAAGACCTGAATGGATCACAAAGCTCCACCAGTGCACAGTGGAGCAGCACAGGCATTTAGGGTGGGTTTTGCCTGAGAAAGGACCAAAGGGACCCTTTAGAGGAAGCTTTCTGGGGGCAGGATGGTGCCAGCTGAAAGGCATTAGGAATCTCCCACTGGACCTTTATGTCCCTCCCCTCTTTAGGTTTACAGGGTCCTGGGGAGCAGGACTGAGCTTTGCGGCTGCTATGGAACCTGGTTGTACCGTCCCTGTGCCCCAAGCACCCCAAGGACTGTGCAGTACCCCAGGGAAAGGTTGATTGAACAGCCCCAAGACAGGCAGGTATATCCTGCTCCTGTGGGAATAAAAAAGTGGGGAAAAGACAGGAAGATAGGATGGATTTGGGGGATTTGAACACTACCTCACACCCTGCTATTGGACCACCCTAGTCAGGCTGCATCCTCCAGAGCCAGGCAGCAGGGAAAATCCTCACCACCCATCCCTCCTTGGGTACTGTTGTTTGCTCCTAAACAGGGGAGTTAAGGAGCCAGGGAATGAAGCTCTTCCCATCAGAGCTTTCTGTTTTCTTTGCTCCATAATTATAGTGTCTAGATAGATACCAGCTCACTGCTGTGCCTTGCAGGACTTGAGGCAGTGCAGGGAGACATGTCCAGACCTTATCTCTGGGCAGAAACCTCTTAAGGTCCTTCCCAACCTGTGCAAAGCTACTGCTGCTTGTAAAACCAACATCTGACATGGGCTTTTAAACACCTTCAGCTTTATAGTGCATAAATCCACCTTTTGGGTGTGCAGGAAGTGTAAAACTCTGGCCAGTCTCCAAATCACATCCTTAAAGAAAAGCAAAAGATGTGTTTTCTTGCTCTGCCTCCTCCCCATCAGTGGGTGTTTTGCAAGTTTGCACGTCCCCAGGGTGTTGTTCTTGCACCAAAATGTTCTTTCCATCTTTCCACCTCATCCCAGGGGCCCCTTTCGGTTTTCTCAGCCAAAAACAAGTGGTACCCAGTGCGGAGAGTCCATCTGATGAGAGGAGAGAATGGGTTTGGATTCACACTCCGAGGAGACTCCCCTGTCCTCATTGCTGGGGTTATCCCAGGGGGCTGTGCTTCTGTGAGTACCCCAGGATCTTCTTGTCCCCATGGGGATGCTGGAATTGAGATGTCAAAGGATGCCTTGAGGGGTATTGGGGTGGTTTTAGATCTTAACACTCAGTTGATAACTGCATTGGTGTGCTGAGGTGGAGACTCATCCCTGTCAGATCTCAGCCTGGGGCTTGCAGGTGGGTGTCAGGAAATAATTGAGTTGTTTTTAATTCCTTAGGAGACAGCTAAGGGAAAAAAACACAGAGATTAGCTCAGTTTGTAACTGCTGGCAGCTTCTCTTTGGCAAGCACCCAGCTCCCTTCTCCCCCATTTTGGGACGTGACAGTGGATGGAACAAGATGGCAAGTCTGGAACACGAGTTAGCACAGTGAAAACTTATTTCTGGGCTTTCTGATGTATCAGGGGACACTTTGTGTTCCAGCAGAAGCTTTCAGGAGCAGGCTGGTGGGATGTGCAAAAGGTCTCCCTCTTCTCTCAGCACTGTTCAGCATCAAGTCTGCCATCCAGAGCCCGGCATCTCTGTAACAACATGCTCTTGGCAGCAGGATTTCCCTTTTTGGGAGACTAAAGTCTTCTCAAAGACCATATGTGGTCCATATCTTGTCTCATGGGCTTTATTTCACTTAGCTGGGGTGGGATTGGACTCCAGATAGACACCAAAATGTGGTTGTACTGCGTGGATAAGCTCCTAAACCTCCACTGCAGCTGGCCCGACATGTGCTGGCTGAGCTGCTGCTTGTTCTGATGCTGTCCCCACAGCCCTGAGCTGCCACGTCAAGAGCCTTGTTGATGCCTTGATGGATGAAGGGTGTGCAGAACCTTGCTGAACCTGCTGTTTTCTGAAGGATCAAGGCTTGCAGGCAATATTTTATATATATATATGTTATTATTTTCTGTAGACCTGCAGCATTTAACCTTTATGAGAGTCAGAGGTGGGTGCTTTTTTTGCAAGGCTGGATGTTTGGTGAGTGTGGTCGTCTCCAGCAGCTGCAAAAGAGGTGCTTAGTCTCTAGAGCATCCCACATGCTGCAGAGCAGATGTAAAAGCTTTAGGATGATGAAGGCATTGTGTGTTTTATGCTGTAGGTGGAAGATGGACCCCAGCCCTCCTTGTGGTCCGTATCTCTGTAGGACTGGCACCCATGGAATGGGGTGGACATCAAGCAGATCACATGCAGTGACATCCGTGAGCTCAAACATGTGCATCTCTCTTTCCCTGCAGGAAGCTGGATTGAAGGAAGGAGACTACATCATCTCAGTGAATGGCAAGGACTGCAAGTGGTCCAAGCATGCTGAGGTGGTGCAGCTGCTAAAGAGCACTGGGGAGGAGGGCGTGGAGATCGGTGTGATAACCCTGCAGGGCTCAGAGGGACCCAAAGCTGTAAGTCACATCACAAGCCTTAGGTGGGAAACACGAGATTCCCCAGGCTCCTGCTGGAAGTGTAGGGCTGAGGCCAGGCATCTTGTCTGCAGCTCATGTGCTGCGCTGTCTTCATATCCCTCTCTGCTTCCCAAACAGGCAGACAAGAAGGCAGCAGCAATGTCCTCAGGCAGCGGGGTGCTGAAGAGCAACAAGGAGAACAGCCGGAAGAGCCTGATGAACAGCAAGAGTGCCAGCACCCTGCTGGTGTGGAGCAAGAAGAGCAAGCGGAGCAAGAAGAGCACCTACGGCATCCCCTTCACCACGGTGGGAGACAACGAGGTCATGTACTGAAGCAGCTACAGGGTTAGTTTGTGTCCCACCACTCCAGGGCTGGCTGCCCATGAACCCTTGCAAGCACTGGTGGCCTCCAGGCTGTGCTGGTGTCGGTGCTGCAAGGAACCCCCCAGTCCCAGGGATGTGCCGCTGGTCGGATCCTCTCCAAAGAGGCAAGTGATGCATAGCACCAGCTCCTCTATCTCCCAGCTCCTGTGTTAAACCATCTTAAGCCTAAACAGTATGGGGAAACACTGATTTATCCTTGATTTTTTAGCTTTCATTTTGCTCTTAGGGGAGAGCTGGAGGGGAGCTGTGCTTCAGTACAAAGCAGGGATTGGTTTGTGTCTTCTGCTTGGTGCGAGGAGCAGCCAAACCAAACCCCAGCCATTAAAGCAAAAGCTGTAACCTTCTTTAGGATCTCCTAGGCTTTCTCTGCAAGGTAGAGGGTGGCACCACTGCTCACCAGGAGCTGCTGGCAGAGCTGAATCCAGTTCCACCTTCAACTCCGCCTTTCAGGAGAGAGGATAGTGTGGGATTTGTGATCCCATTGTGGGTTCCAGCACAGGCAGCACCGGGCTGCGCATCTCTGCCGTGATACCAGTTACAGGATGTCCCAGTAAAATGGGTTGAAATTAGAATGGTTTTGACCATTTTAGTGCTTTTTGTTTGTGTTTTATTAATAACCACCCAGGTTGGTGCAGCAAATGCAGCCCAGCTGCTTCTTTGTAAGAAAAGGGAAAGACTTAAGGTGCATTTGTCTCGCTTCTTTTAATCAGTAGACGTGGATTGCCCTAAATATGTGAGTAGATTAATAGCTAAGAGCCTTGCTGGGTTTTTTTTGCTTGGTATGAGATTAAAATTCCAGGAAGATAGCTCCTCCAGATTATTAAACTACTAAATTTGTGCTAGTATTGGATCTTGCACACGTTGCTAATACCCTAACACTGTGCTGTCAGCATTCGTACCAGAGCTGGGCTGATGGATACATGCATCTTGGTAATTGTACTGGAAATGCTGGGAGACTCCGAATACACTCTTAGATATATTGGCACCATTTTCTCCATCCCATTTCTGCCTCGTGCATTATTTTTCTGAAGGCTAAAGAGCTGTCTGCTCTTCAGTGCTTGGATGATCTTGGTAGGTATAAAATACCCTTCAGAGATGCAATTGTATTTTTGTACTTTTTAAGTGGTGACACATTTAGTTTAAAGGAGTGAACGTGCAAGGGATATCATCACGAGTGCATCCCCATGGGGTTGTATCATTCTTGGTGGCACAATGCCTGAGTGCTGAGCTTTCAGCCCTGGTTATAGTTAGGGAGAACTGAATAATAGAATCATGGAATGGTTTAGGTTGGAAAGGACCTTAAGATCATCTAGATCCAGCCTCCCTGCCGTGGGCAGGGATGCCTTACAGTAGAGCAGGTTGCTCCAAGCTCTGTCCAGCCTGGCCTTGGAGCATTCACCACTTCTTTGGGCAACCTGTTCCAGCGCCTCACCGCCCTCCCAGTAAAGAACTTCTTCCACAGGGCTTCTAGCTCTGTATTAACAACCAAGACGCCTCTCTATAGACCGAGACATCATCAAACCGGATTAGAGATCCGGCTGCCACCATCTGGTGCAGTCAGATTTCCTGCGTCATCTTCCCAGCTGCTTGAGTGCTAAGGAAGGCGGTGGGTTCACAGGAAAGGCCACCTTCCTGTTAAAGCATCCCAGCAGCATCTTCCCCCTGATTCTAAATGTGTTGCCAACAGGGACATCTTGGAGCTGGGGATGTATTTATTTAGAAGCCTGCACGTCGCGTTTCCACCCGCATCACCCAACTCCTCCATTGGCATCAGCGGAGGGGTTGTGTGTTGTGTGAGTTGGATGGTTTCCCTAACACCAGTGGTTTTGTTTTGGTTGATTTTGTACATGGACTCTCACCTTTTATGAATTAAAAAGCACTGATTCCAAAACACTTTGTAGTGTGCATCTCTGTTGTGAATTACTACACAGGTGGGATCAAGGTTGGGCTTCCAAATGGGTCAGATTTGGGTCATTTTTTCACCCATTTTCATTTGGGTCACTTAAACCTGAAGCTATTGAGGTTTGGTGAGATCATTTGGATCTCATACAGCCTGACCCAAAGCAAACCAAGTTCCTAAACACCCAGGTTAACCCTTGGCAAGACATCATCTCCAGCAAGGTGAAATGGGAGCTGGGGCTTTGTCCCATGAGTTATTTCATGGAAGTAATGTGGAAGGTGAGAAGGCTGGATCCACTGGGGGCTTTTCTCCTGCATAAAAGGAAGGAGACTGTTCAAGAAACTGTTCTCAAGCAGGGTTGTGTGAAGCAAACTTGGTGGGGTTTGGAGTTTCTGTTGGTTTGGGTTGCCAAAAAGGGTTTCCAAACCTCTTGTTTTTGGAAGAGCACATTAATGGGAACAAAGGCATCAATGGAAACAAAGACATCACTGGTGCTGGAGGAGCTCATGAGTAGCTGGCAAAGAGCAATGCCTTGACATGGGACTCCCCCAACCCCCCTTTTCCCTTTGGTGTCAGTGTTTCAATGGAGCCCAACTCTCCACCATCCAGGGAGGATGACCAAGCCCATGGGGCTGGACCATGGGTCCTGGCAGCACACAAGCCCCTGGCTCAGGGAACATACACCCCATGGGAGATAAAAGGATAGAGTGACTCCTCTTTGGAGACACAGGGGTGGATTTAACCCCACTTACATCGAACTGAACCAGGGTGAGTGCTTTCAACATGGGGTTAATACACAAAAGGGTGGTGGGAGCCTCTTTATCCTGTCTACCAAGCTGGAGTTAAAGCATTATCTGCCTCTTTTATCACATCATCTTGTAACTGAAGGTGTTTTCCCTTCCGCCAGCCCTCCTGTACCCAGCACCAACCTCAAAGCCACCCACAGGGAGTTGTTCTGCTGCAGAACATCCTTTTCCCACCTACGCTCAGTGGCTGTGGGAACCTCGTGACTCCAGTGCTGGGATCACCTCCTCTGGTGATGTATTTCAGAGGAGACCTGTGCTCCACCAACAAGAGGCTGGTGTCTCCCTCCCTCTATGCTGAGAGGCTGTCGAACTGGATCATTCCATGCTTATCTTCTTTTCCATCTTGACCAGGAGGTGAAAGGGTCCTGTAGGATCCTGCTGGTGGGGGCCAACAAGAACCACTGCAGAAATAGCTTTACTTAACCAAGGGACTGTAGTGACAGGACAAGGGGTAACAGGTTAAAACTTAAACAGGGGAAATTTAGATTGGATATAAGGAAGAAATTCCTTCCTGTGAGGGTGGTGAGGCACTGGAATGGGTTGCCCAGGGAGGTTGTGAATGCTCCATCCCTGGCAGTGATGAAGCCCAGGTTGGACAGAGCCTTGGGTGACATGGTCTAGTGTGAGGTGTCCCTGCCTATGGCAAGGGGTTGGAACTGGATGGGCAGGGACATCTGGACTAGACCAAGTTGCTCCAAGTCCCATCCAGCCTGGCCTTGAACACTGCTAGGGATGGAGCATTTACCAGTTCTTTGGGCAGCCTGTGCCAGTGCCTCAACATCCTTATAATAAAGAGCTTCTTCCTTATATCTGACTGGAGCTTACCCTGGTCTGGGACCAATTAAAACAGCTTTCAGGAGCATCCTATGACCAGTCAAAGAAGCCTTTAGGGGCATCCTACGACCAGACAGGAGATGCAAAGAAGGGTTTGGGTTGTCTTTGTTATCCCTTGTTGATTTCTAGGGTCCTTGACACAGAGAACATTGGTTCCCACCATCCTGAAAACCCCATCATGAAGACCCCAGCAAATCCACAAGGGTTGAGCCGAGTTTCCTGCCTTTGAGGTTGAATTTTCCTCCTCTCAGAGCTTCACACTCAGTGATAAGAATCTCCCAGCCCATATATCAGCGTGGTGGGAAGGTGGTTTGATTTTCCCCTCCATTAAGTGCACAAAATCTCTCTTAATAGTGGAGAAGTTACCTACCTGTGGTGTTGTCACAATGGCCTTGTGCCTGCCTCTTTCTTCACGGCCTGTTGGCCCCGTAACCCATAATGGCTCTTGTGGAGCTGTCACTGGCTGTGATTTAATGCTCCTGCCTGGCCCTGGGAACAGCAGAAGGGAAGCAGCTACTGGGTGGAATTTGTCAGTGGGATCAGGCCCTTCAGCAGCTGCGGGTGCTGCTTTCAAACAGGCCTGGGCCAGGAGCACATCAGTGGGATCATCTCAGAAGAATGAGGCAGAGCAGGCTTGGTCCAGTAGCCAGAAAGGGGAGTGATGCTGTGACCGCTTAGTCCCTTTCCCAGTGCTCACTGCATTCCATGGAGGGTGTCACCCTCAGCCCCATCTCCCACCTTGGCCCTCTGCAGCACCCATGTGCTCAGTACAGAGTGGGGTACCACTGCCTCATCCTTTCCAGCCTGAGCCCACTGGAGGGCAGCAGTACCTTGTCCAATGCAATTCCCGCAGTACAGGGACCCCACATCTGCCAAGAGCAGTGGCATCCCTTGACTTCCCCCCAAGGGTGAATAGAGGTGTCCCTGGGATGCTTTGGAGACCAGTGCATTGAAAAACGTGGCAGAAAAAGTGATTTTTAAAACCATATATCATAGAATCATGCAGTGTTTGGGTTGGAAGGGACCATAAAGCTCATCAGTTCCAAACCCCTTCCACTAGAGCAGGGTGCTCCAAGCCCCTGTGTCCAACCTGGCCTTGAACACTGCCAGGGATGGGGCAGCCACAGCTTCTCTGGGCACCCTGTGCCAGTGCCTCAGCACCCTCACAGGGAAGAGCTTCTGCCTAAGAGTTCACCTCGGTCTCCCCTCGGGCAGGTTCAAGCCATTCCCATTCTTGGCCTGCCCCTACAGGCCCTTGTCCCAAGCCCCTCTCCAGGTTTCCTGCAGCCCCTTTAGGCACTGGAGCTGCTCTCAGGTCCCCCATTCAGGAGCCTTCTCTTCTCCAGGCTGCCCCAGCCCAGCTCTCTCAGCCTGGCTCCAGAGCAGAGCTGCTCCAGCCCTTGGATACATCCTGCAAAATCCGTATGGGGGAAGAGAGCAAGAAGCCGTGCATGGCAGAGCAGCATCCTCTGGGGTAGAGCACCCTGAGCTCATGGCAAGCTCCATCCATCCTCTAAAAGGAGGGCTGAGATTCTACTGAGAGCACCCATTCTGCTCCGTCAAGCTGTCCCTTGACTCCACTGGGGCTGCAGTAGGGGGCTTCGCTCCTGCTCTGGTCCTAAAAGCTTTGCCAAGGTGCTGTCTGAGACTTCCCAGCAGCTTGGAGAAGCCAAAGCCCCCCTGCATGGCCTTGGATGGCAGCGAACAGCACTGGGAGGCTCATCAGCCATAAGGCCACAAGAGAGGGGCTGTGCTGGAGGGATGGGTGGCCACCAGGGCAGAGGAGCCTGGTGGGTCAAGGCTGGGCTTCAGGTCAAGGCACTGGGGCTACAGGGGAGAGATGAGGAGGAGCTGGTGGAGATGTGGGCTGCAGAGTGGCACTAGAGGGCAGAGTCGGAACATGCTGAACCAGAGCAGCGCAGAATAACAGACCCATGGAATGGTTTGGGTTGAAGGGAGCTTAAAGCTCCTCCAGTTCCAACCCCTACCACAGGCAGGGACCCCTTCCACTAGAGCAGGGTGCTCCAAGCCCCTGTGTCCAACCTGGCCTTGAACACTGCCAGGGATGGGGCAGCCACAGCTTCTCTGGGCACCCTGTGCCAGCGCCTCAGCACCCTCACAGGGAAGAGCTTCTGCCTAAGAGCTCAGCTCAGTCTCCCCTCGGGCAGGTTCAAGCCATTCCCCTTGGCCTGTCCCTACAGGCCCTTGTCCCAAGCCCCTCTCCAGGTTTCCTGCAGCCCCTTTAGGCACTGGAGCTGCTCTAAGGTCTCCCCTTCAGGAGCCTTCTCTTCTCCAGGCTGCCCCAGCCCAGCTCTCTCAGCCTGGCTCCAGAGCAGAGCTGCTCCAGCCCTCACAGCATCTCCATGGCCTCCTCTGGACCTCTGCTCCCCACAGCCCAGACACCCTTTATCCACCTGGATACCAGGTGGAATGGTGCTGGGGTCCTGTATTGTCACATCCATGTAGCTCCATGCACATGACTCTATACAAACCAATCTGCATACTCACACCAAGTCAGCTCCTGCTCTGGAAACTGCCTTCATGCTGCCCAGGAGCAAAGGAGAGGATGGAGGCCATGCTGCCATGAGCAGTGTTCTACCAGGCTCTTGCTTGTCCCTGTACCCTATCACCCTCATCTGCTTCCTACCAGGGACATAAGCATTGGATGGGGATACCCCCCCATTGCTTTGTGGTCCCTGGGGAGTGCTCAGCCACCTTGCATTGGAGCAAGTCTGACCTGGCCTAGGTGGTCCTGACAATGGTCAAGGGTGGAGAAGGGACCTCCTTTGGTCCTTTGTGCCCTGTTGTGTGTAGGATATGAGTGTTTGTGGAGGGTCTGTGCTCTGTAGTCCATAAGAGGATGAGGAAGATGCTGATCCTCTACTGGATTTATCCCAGAACTTGTCCTCCACTGGCACAGGAGACTGAGGCAGGCCAGGATGCACTGGAATTAACTGGGATGCTGTCCTGGTCTTGGCTGGGATGGGGTTAAACCACCACATATGCACTGGGAGAACAGTCTTGGTCTATACCAAGCAATGAGGGCAAGAGGGCCACGCTGTGGGGCAAGGAGATCATGGTGGGATGAAGGAAGGTCATGTTATGGAGCAAGGTGGACATGGTACAGGGCAAGGAGGTGATGTGTGATGGATCACATCATGCTGTCAAAGAGGGACATGGTGTGGAGCAACAGGGCCATGCTATTTGTCAAGGACATCATGCTATATCACAATAGGGTCACGCTATAGAGCAAGAGGGCCATGCTATGGGTCAAGAGGGTTCATCTATGGAGTGAGGTCGTGCTAAGGAGCAAGGTAGATGTGCCACAGGGCAAGAGGGTCATGCAATGGGGG